GAATTTAGGAATTCAGTAACTAGGACTTTTTCTGCCGCGCTGCGCCTTTTGTCTACGCACTTTTTCATGCGGCTGCAACGGTACTCTGATTAGTGGGCGCCCTTAATCGTGTGTGTGACTGCAATTTTGGGCGGGCGCCATTGTAACTGTATCTTTCCTCTTGCACTTCGTCTCTCCCGCTCTCCCTCTCTTTCTTTTGCTGTGAGCCGCGGCTTGCATGCTCGGATCGATGCGTGGAGAAGGGTTACGTCCCCCACGCCGTGGCCGATCATGCAGAACGYAGGCGCTCCCTCCCTAATCCCCACTCTAAGTCCYGGTAATTCCGTGTTCTTCGCGCATGCATGCACGCTATAAATTYCRGYTGCGCGATTAGTCAKCTCTCTTGAYCTGTTGTTGGAAGCTCGGGGTTGCGCGATCAGGAAGGGTCGGCACACGAGCGAAGTAAGAGGTGAGTAGAGTAGGAGTTGGGCGACCCGACGGGCTGGTGCCGAACGCGCGGGATTGACGTGGGCCACGACGGACTGTGGGCACGGGCGAATCCGACGGGTGCGGGAGGACTAAGCGGGGTGACAACTTCGTGGGTTGGTGCGTGACGACGGACTGTCCGCATCGCAGAGAGAGAGAGAAGGAGAGAGAGTTGAGGTCGATGGACGTGGATTTGTTGTTTCTTTGCCCCTTCCCCCTCTTCATCTGTGTACATACATTTTGATTACGACTCCGGGCGGTTCGCCCGTTCTCATTTTCGTTTTCGGCTTTTGGGAATCGAGACTTGTGTTTTTGCTTACACTTGTCTTTGCTGTGTCCGTCCCGATTGCATTACGCTTATGATTATCGAATGTGTGGATATTATTCCTGTCTGTATATCTTTTGTTGAGAATCCCTGTCCCTGCCTTTTGATTGTGTCACACCTGATGCCGTTGTTGATGGGATAGGAATCTGGCCCTGATAGCGATTTTGCTCTCGTTTTTGCTTATCTCACGATGATGGTTGTGCTATGGTCGCCCCTTGTATAATCAAAACCTTCCGAAGCAATTAGACGATCCGAAGTCTGGTCCCGCGAACGCCGCGCGAAGAACACGTGTAGACGCAATATGAGTTGCGTCCTTACACGTATTCCCGTGCGTCGATTCGCTCACCCAAAAAGGTTCGCGATGGGGCCGTCATCCCCCACAAGCACGCTGAGGCTCTCTTGAGGCTGTCTGCCCGGCACGTGCTTGCGCGCGGTGACGATATCCTGACCGAATTGACCCATATACGATGACACCATGACACGATCTTGGATCTCAGACTCATCTTACGACCCGGACTATTTCACCCCTATGATAAACAAGCTCATAAGGACGCGATACCCCTGTCATACGGAGAATCGGTTATGTCCGCGGGAATTTCACTGCGCCACCTCTAGCGACCCTCGGTGCTCTGATTTCCCTTCTCCCGACCACACCTACTACTTTACCCACCCGGGATTTGTTGTCATCACCACCAGTTTCCCTCCTTTCCGCCTTCTTCTCCCATACCATCAACTCAGTGTCGTCCCGTGGCCAGCCATAGCCCCCTATTGGCCCGACACGTTTTGTGTGAATTGCCGACGTAGCGGCGAACATAGAACTCCGGAATTCCACAGGCCCAACCCAGGTACACGGCGACCCGCGCAACGTGGCAGCCCCCGACGGCATAACTTTTCGGGACCGCCTCCACCGCGGAGGGATTTCCCCGTAACCCGTCGATCACAGTGTCCCTGTCCCTTCGGATCATGAGACCCTTGCGCGCGCACCCCTCATTCGCCTAGTTGCATTCATACCCTTAAGGCTCCCCCACTTTCCCAAAAATTCTTGGCACACCCCTTTTCGCACTTTCAGGCCCACATCCCACTCCGATCAGGAAGTCGCGCTGGGCGTGAGGTTGGGGCGTCACAGCGACAGCTCAAGCCCCTGTCTAGGCACCTCGGCCTGAACCAAGAATCCCCCGTTTTGTCCGGGTGACTCAACCCCCACAGCCAAAAATCCTTGGCCACACCCCTAACTACTCTGATCGGTGTCCGACGTATGGAACGCCTCGTGGGGTGTGAGGTTGCACATCAGATGTAAACCTGCAGGATTGGATGTTTGCCTTCCGAATTCGCATATGCATTGTCTCCCCGCGTTAGGTGGCTTCTCTTTCTCTTCGGCCAAATTGCATAGCCGCCTCCGCTAGAGGAAATTTGTGTTACTCATGCCCATGTCCTACGGTGACACCTACACACACCAGATTCATTGGTTCTTGGGGGCGGTTTGGCATCAGTCCTATTAAAAGTAGGATTAGGGTTCGACTTCCCACTACTAATGGCTAATGGGTGGTGCGCAAACTCTCTCTTGTGCTGGGGCGAGGGACGAGTGGGCAAGTAATTAGGTCAGGCAATCCCCTCCTGGGGGGGGTAATCAATGCTGCCTCCTACTGTATACCCATTCGATTGATTGCTGAAAACCTTGCTCCTGCTACATGTCATCAAAGGGACGCTAGAACCCGTTTCCAGCAGGTGCAGCTCCCCACCATTAGACGGGAGCCATCAACCCTGAGAGGCCTGCTAGAGGAGGATGCTGCCTATAAACCTAAGGGGTGGACCCCGCTGCCTGGGAAAGCTTCTGCCAAACAGAAAAGTGGACCTCACTGCAGCACGAATTTTCGGCAGGTCCGTTGTTGCTTTTTTTTTTTTTGGTAATTTGCTCCAATCTAGTTGTGGGGAGCATCACGTGCTGGGAACCGGGCCCAGTGTCCCTTATAATGGGAATACATTGACGATTGACAATTGATGAAAATTTGAGATGATTGAGGATCATTTTGGATGATTTAGGATGTCAGAGTGGGTGATTGAGGTCATGAAATAGAGCTAGATGATGACTAATCAGAAAGATTGTCTACTCAGCACTGAATTACTATCCTACCCCTAATTTCCTGTATCCATTCCAAACAACCAATCACAATTGAGCCCGTGCTGTGCACCAATCAGGCCTCTTCCCGGTCTCACACCCCAATCTGTCTCGGTTACAGGGCAGCGCTACGCCGCTACCCACCCCAGCTCCGACCATCGTCAGCCAGATTGTAGCTATTAGTCAAGTTTGCAGATTGCCTTCCTCCCTCGGCAATTCCAGACCTCTATACAAAGCCTCAAGTTCCTACACAAGCAGGTTACAGGGCACTGCCCCAGCGCCGGCTAGCGTCGTTCTGGTGGCAACTGAACCTGGCCATTACACAAGAAGACTCAATTAGGAAATTAGCTAATCTAGAATGCCAACCAGAAATCAAGGATCTGATACTATCAGAATCCTGATCAGCAACGAGTTCCCCCAAAAGGTGTACCTCAAAACTAACACTCTGACCTAGTCTGCCTCCGCCAGGAGATAATGCGCCCCCATACATATCTCCCAGCCCCAGCCAAGGTCAGCTCCCATCGTCTGCGTCTACTCCCTGGAGGGCAATCACCTCCCACCTTGGGTTACCCCTGCGGAGTCGCGCTCCCTTCCTGACCAACCTATCTACCAACTAGACCATAGCCTATCTGTAAGATGAGAATATAACCACCAACACAGAGATAACTACTGATTGATGAAAAAATGAATAAAGAAACCATGATGATGATGATGATGATGATGATGATGATGATGATGACTGATGATGATTGATGATGATGATGATGATGATGATTGATGATAAAGATTCAGATTGGTAGATGATGATGATGATGATGATGACGAAATAAAATTGGCTAAAATAAGTAAGGAACGTCGAACTTGCGATGCCCTAATGGCATCGGTGT